TGGTTTCTTGGAGTGCTGGACGAGATTCGCCGAGGAGAGCTGTCGGAACGCACGCGCAATTTCTTGCCTGGCAGACCGACGGACGTTCCGGGGTCGCGGGTAAACGGTGCACCGCTGCGCGGGAGCGAACGTCGTCCACGAGACGCAGAGGCGCTTGCGAGACAGAACGGACTAGATGGTGAGGGGTGCAAAGTTGAGCGAGAGAGGAGAAAGCTCGTCGCGACGCCGCCGAAAGATGCGCGGTTTCGCGGGGAGACATTTGTCGACGCCGTCGCCACTTATGCGGACCAGGAAGTTCATTGCCACGTCGGGAAGCACAGAGCTGCGCAGTGGGCAACGGAGCGAGGGGAACAGCTGCTCTGGGTCGCAGCCAGAGATCGTCCGAGCCATGGCGGGGAACAGAGGCGCCCGTGCACGGCGGAGGACAAAATGCTGTGGCTGGGGCACCGCGACAAGGAGTGCGCGAGCTTTCCGTGGTGGTTGCTTCCGGCGAAGTGGATGCCGGTAGCTTTGGCAAATCATTTGGGTCGGTCGAGGGAGCAGCTGTTGCGGGGGCGCGCAGCGACGATCCATTGGCGGGCGTCGCGCGAGGACGAGGTCCTGGGATATGAAGACGAGGATGTCTTGGTGCATCTACCGAGAGTGACTGCGTTGGACACTCATGCGAAGGAGTGGCACGTGCCAGGCTGGGGGCCGGGTCTGTATCCGATCTCCCCATCGAAAGGGCGGCGCTTGTTCTTGGGCGGGTATCGGAAGCATCCAGTATTGAGTGCGAAACGCACACAGTTTGTGATAATCCCGCCTTTGGCAGCGGCGGCGTAATCAGCGCAGGGCTGGGCCGCGGGGGCCGCGATGCCGGGCCTTGAAAGAGGGCGCGGCGTGAGTTGGATGTCGAGTTGCGTCGCCTTCGCGCGCGCATGCGAGAGACGCCTTCGATTCCCCGGCGGCCCTTTGATAGGAGACCGCGCAACGAAGGCGGGATGGCTGGCGCGAAAAAGCCGTTGCAGGTGCTGCGAGGGGAGGGCGTGGATCGGGGCGGGTGGGAGGCGGAACTGATGCCCCGAGACCAGTGCGCGCGTTGCCGGCGGAGGTGCCTGTCGAGGCGTTCACGAAGTATGAGTTCCAGAGGAAGGAGAGGCCAGCGCACTGCAAGGAATGCGCGGGACAGATGAACAAAACGCGGACGAACAATGGCACACGACGTACAGAGGGCGGGCAACCAAAGCGGAGGATGACGGCGCGACGCGGCACGTCAGCGGTCGGAGCGGGGACGCAGCGGCCGACGAGGGGGAGGCGTGAAGGATTCGGACAGCGCATCTTGCGAAGCGCAGTCATGTCAGAGCCGAGCAGAAGTCGCGGAGCGGCGACGCGAAGTGGAACGAGGGCGTCGGCACAGTGCGATGTTCGAACGACAAGTGCCTGCCGCTGTGCGACGAAAAGGCGGATATGTCGTAAGCGCAGAAGAAGCGTCGGAAATGCGCGGGGAAGCGGGGGGCAAATTACGAAGCAGGGAATCGCAAACGGACAGCGGAGGCGGAAGCGGGGCCGCCGACGCGCGGCGCGCCCACTTGCGGGGTGTCTCTCTGTATGGTCGGCCACTTGAGCCGCGACCAAATGGAGGGCCACCGGGCGAACAAAGGAACAATAGTGGTGTGCGAAAGTTGTTATAGGCAGGGCATCGCCGCGAAGGGTGTGGCCGATGAGTCGAAGCGCTTGAATCGGGCGTTGATGTGCGCAGTGTGCAAAAAACGGTTCGCTCGGCAGGAGTATATAAGCGCCAAACAGGAGAATGATCACTTCACGAGAAAGAGTACAGTTGTTTGCGCAGATTGCATTGCCGACGGGCTCACGTGGCGCATTCGGCAGGCCTCTCAGTGCAGTGGCAACTGCCAGGGGGAATTGCCGAAGTCGGCTTTCTCCGTGGACGCGAGCCACGTCGCGCGTGGCGGGAAGAAGGGCACCTTGAAATGCAAGGTGCTTCCCCCTGCTCCTCCTCCGCCTCCTCCTCCGCTTTCACCTTCTGTGCGTTCCTCTATTCATCGGTTTAGTCCCCCCTCTCGCTCGTACGCCCGCTGCTCCTGCTTCTACGGGCCATGGCACGGGCGCCCTACCGGTATCATTTGAGATTGGGGGAGAGGCGAAAGGGGAGTCAAAGAAGAGGAGGAGGAGGAGGAGGAGGAGGAGGAGGAGGAGGAGGAGGAGGAGGAGTCACGATCTGGTCTTGAGGCGTCACGGGGGCGTCTTGGAGGTCGTGTGTGTGGGCCTCGAGGGGGTTGTCTGGGAACCTTGTGGGGCCCTGTTGGGAGGTTTTTTTCAGCAGGATGAGGGGATCTCGGAGCCAAAGGACCAAACAGTTGCCCTCCGGGCTCCCTCTTGGGGCCTTTTAGAGGCTCTTTTGGGCCGTTCTGGGCGTTGCTTAAGCCGCTTTTGGGCCCTATTGGACCTTTCTCGGCAGTTGCCGAGGCCGTCCTGGGAGGTGTCATTGCCTGTGCTGGACGTTGCGGAACTGCAGGAGGCCAAGATGGTGAACATGTTTTTTTTACAATGGGAATGGGACGCTTTCTGCTTCTAAGGGCTCGCTTGGGACGCCTCATGGGGGCCTCTTGGGTCGCTTTGTGGGCTTCGGAGGCTGTCTGGAAACCATCGTGGGCGTCTTGGAACGATATCTCGGCGACCCGTCGCCTTCTTGGACGGTCAGGGAGGCGTTTTGGTGCCCTTCTAGCTCGTTTTGGGGCCCTCGGTTCCCCCATGGCGCGTTCGGCGGTGGGTAGTCCGGGGCGAGGGGGGGGGGTAACATTGCCGGTTTGGGGTCCCATGGGGGGGGGCTTACGGGGGGGAAGAATTTCACACGCCTAGAGGCCCACAAGGGTTCGGTGGATTGTGGTTGTGATGAGGATGATGGTGGTGGTGATGTTGATGGTGCTGCTGAGGATGGTGATGATGATGATGACGATGATGGTGATGATGATCACGATGCTGATGCGGATGATGCGGATGGTGATGTGGATGATGCTGATGAGGATCATGCTGATGATGATGAGGAGGAGGAGGAGGATGCGGAGGAGGAGGAGGAGGAGGGGGAGGAGGAGGACGAAGATGATTGGTTTGACATCAACCGTCGTGAACGCACGTTTTCGGAAGCTGACCACTGTTGCACCAGAGGTCAGCAAACGTCCGCCAAACACATTCTAGGGATAATGACCTAGCAACTGCAGGGGGCACTGTCAACCCACCAGCCGTACAAAGACGTTGGGGCGCCAGCAAAGAAACCAACCCAGCAGCCAACTTTCAGACCCTCCCCCCTTTGTTCAAAGGGGGGGTCTTGAATTGGGCGAATTCATTTGGAATTCCACCACGCCCCATTGGAAAAACAGACCTTGTGGCTGCTCACTGGGGTGGCGCTCGAGGTTTGTTTCGTCCTCTGCCACTGCCGCCACCCAGGAGCCAAGGGAAGCACAAAAGCGATAACATTGGGGTGGCGTTGGAGGTCTGTTTCGCCCTCTGTTTTTTTCGCCACCCAGTCCACGGACCACCGTCGAAGCAAACCACGAAGGCTCAGCCCAAGAGGCGTCCCAGAAAAAATTGGTTGCAGCGGTTCACGGCCTTCAACACCAAATGGGATTCGACACTCAAGAGATTTGCGAGAGCACAACACGGGGAATCAGACCACGGACCAGGGACCGCGCTCGACAGAAATCTCTGGACATTTCGGATGCTTCCCCTTGCAATTGAACGACCATGCGCTATTGGCCGCGTTAGACTTAGACAACCCGTTCCAATTTTCAGAAGGATGGCCGTGATTGGAATAAGCAACGCAATTGGCACCGACGATGAGCAAAGCATTGTCAGAACAGTCTGAAAAATGCACCTGTGCTGCCCGAGGCGCAGGGCACTAAGAGCGATAAGAAGAGGCTTCGAACACACACCGGGAGGAGGAGGAGGAGGAGGAGGAGGAGGCGGATCGAGGCGAGAGGAGCCCACACCAGGAGCAGGATGGTGGTCTCTCACTCCCCCGGAAGCTGGCAGGCAGTTCTCGCATTGCCAAGAAGTACAACCGCGAACCCAACAGTGAGGCGGCCGGGCGGGGTCAGGCCGGCTCCATCAAGGTTTCTTCGCCAGCGTCACACCCCTCATCTGGAAACGCGGCCAGGCTGGCATCACGTCGCAGGACAGGTTGGTGACAGTCTGGGAAATGGTGCAAACCCGATCTGACCAACGAATCTCTTCCTCATTAGGCTGAGGGTGGTGAGACAACTCTTGACCACGGCGTCGGCCAAGTCATTCCCCGCCTTGAGGAGTCGTTCGTGGTCGCTGAGGTCGGGCGAGTTGGCAACGTGAGCTTCCACCTTGAAAACTCCATCAACTACTTTACGACGGGTGGAAAGCAAACAACCAGCATACGGGCGTTTATAGCTTAAAGCTTTGACGAGAGGATCGTTGGCCTGCGCAACGACGTTTGGTGCAGTCTAAAAATAGACGAGCCTTCGAGAGCGTGCATTGCAGCAACAACATCAACCCCGAACTCCCCAGCCTGGGCCCTCTGGGGGTACCTACGCCATCAATTCAAGCCAAGCCCCAGCCAGCCCAGGATAACTCTCGAATCTTGTGATATGCACACGAGCCGTCAACGAAGACATTCCCTTTGACGCGAGCAAAGTTAAACTTGTCGCGATGTTCATTCCAAACTGCAGAAACTCCATGCTCCTCAGAATCCCCTCGAGCGGGACAAGGCAGAACATCACCGGGGTGGCGAAACAGACCAGAGGAGGAGGAGGAGGAGGAAGAGGAGGAGGAGAAGGAGGTGGACGAGGAAGAGGAGGAGCAGGACGAGCAGGAGCAGCAGGAGGAGGTGGAGGAGGAGGGAGCGGAGGGAAGCCAGGAGAAGGAGGAGAACGAGGAGGGAGGAAGGACGATGCAGCAGGACGAGGAAGATGCAGGGCCAGGATCTCCCTCCCCCCCTCGCCTTCCCTGCGCTGCGCCCCCTGGCGCCCCGCCGCCAGGTCCGAGAGGGCCTGCCGGCTCGAGAGGGGGCCCCGGCGCCGGGGCCCGCGGAAGCGATGTCCTCTGGCGAGGTGGACCTGGCTGCCTTGGCCAAGGAGCGGTCGGTCTCCTCGGCGCAGCCGGCACGAGGGTTGAGGACACCCTTTCGAGCGTTGCGTAATGGGGGGGGTCATAATTGGGGGGGTGGCGAGGGTGGTCCGAGAAGGTACCCAAACGGGATCTAAACGAGGCCCCTGGGGCTCCAGAGGGGCCCGCAAAGGGCACGAAAGGAGACCGTTTCTGACCCCCTCATTTATGACCTCCCCATTAAGCCACGCCCACCCGATGATTTTGCGGTTGAGAGCGCGACGTGCCCACACCGAAAGTCAGTGGACGCCCTGGGGTCCCAGGGTTGGGTTTCTTGTGGAAGGTTTCTTGTGGTCGGGGCCCTACTGTACCCCTTGGAGTGTCCCGTGTGTGCAGCTCAAAGGGTCTGTGGGCCTCTACGAAGGGACTCACGATCTTGACCCACGTTCTTGTGGCCGTATTTTGACTGTAGCCCTCGCAGTCAAGATCAGTGAGAGGACGATCAGGTCCGTGAACATCCTTCATTGGGGCATCTCTGCGCCGGCGGTCCTGGCATCAAGTTTCCTCTAGCGAGTTTGACATTGGCTGTCTTTGTCGGAGGTCCGCGCGGGTCCGGCGTCGACCCAGGAAATCCGCGCGGACATCTGGGAGTCGATGTTTATGCAGTTGTTTTTTCCTCTCGGTGGCCTCAGCAGGCAAATTTGGTGAAAGGACGATTGGGCTTTGTAGAGTCCTTTCACTAGTTGAGCGCCCTTGCGCCCTCCATTGGACACCCTTGCATCCCATCTATCTTGCATTATGCACCTGAACACCCTGCATTACACACACTTGCACTTGCATCCTTCGTTTCGACACCCTTGAACCCTCTTGCTCCCCGTCCTGTGTTGAGGTGCTGTCGCCTTGGAAGTGCCCGGTCCACCGACATCGCCCTCGCTGCCAAACCCGTCGGTGACTGCGCCACCGCCCTTGAGCCCGCGGGAGCGCGGCCAGCGGCCCATCGCGGGCACCCCCCCCCAGCGGAAGTGGCAGCGTGCGCTCCTGGCTCGTAGTTTTAAGTGGGGCCTGTCCCTCTACAGGAGGAATATTCAAAAATACTCAAAAGATGGACAGTGGACGATTTTTTTGAGTAGTTCGTGATTTTTGTTTGAATATATTTTGACTATTTGTATTTTTCGTCCAAATCCCTCCTGTAGGAGGACACGCCCGACTTAATCGTCGTTGTCTGTCGAAGAGGCACTCAGCGCGGGTGCAAGACGAGGCTCTCGGAGGCCCGCGAGGATCTCTTGGGCCCGTTGTGGAACCCCGCCCTCTGGAGCGCGGAGCGCGCCAGGGTTGAGTCGGGCCTGTCCCTCTACATGAGGAATATTCAAACATATTTTTTGACAATTTTTAATTTTTCGCTCAAAAACCGCCTGTAGGGGGACAGGCCCGATTGAACGCAAGGGGCGGCGCCGGAGGCGCCGCTTTATATTTTTGCGTCTTGGTGCGGCGCTAACGGTATCGCTACTGGAAATGCGCCCCCGCGAATTATTTGATTTCGTTGCGGTGTTAACGATCACCGAGGGCTCCTACTTAGCCCTTCCTACTAGTCCCTCTCCCCCTTTCTTCACCTTTCCTTCCCCGTTCGCTCGGGGTGTCACTTTCTGTCCGCGCTCAATGTTGCAATATCATCACCTGTTTCTTTTTCGGCGGCGCCATCATAGCCATCGTTGTGTCATCGCCGTCGTTGTCGTCATTGCTGTCAGGGCGAGCCATCGCATGCTGTCCGATTGTGCAGTTGCTCGGCCCTCGTGGTTGTTGCTCCATCTTGCCCGGTCCGCGCGGTAAGTTGACGACGCCATTGGCCAGCGCGTGCTGGTGCGTGCCTCCACCCCGCGTGCCGGTGCGTGCCTCCACCCCGACTCGTCGATGTCGCGCGCTGTCGCCGCTCGCGCCGCTTCTCGCCGCGCCGCGCGGGACCTGCGCCATCGCTGCGGGCCGCCGTGCGATGCTTGTCGTTCGACGTCGGGGCCACTTGGGAATGGGGCCCTCGTCGCCAGGCAGTCCCGGCCCTCCCTGGCCCCGCGCCGACAGATATTCGGATCGCCGCGGTGGCGCAGGGGCCCCGCCGAGGACCGTTGCTGCCAACTGGGGGTGCTTGGCCACGCGATTGCTGCGGAGCGCAGGGGGCCAGGCCGTGGACCTCGGGTGCGCGGTGTGCCTCGGGGCGGCTGGTAGACAGCAAAGCTTCGGGGGCCTTGTGCCGCGTCCCGACAAGGCCCGAGATCTTTAATGCAGCCGTCCCGCCGTTGAGCAGCCTATGACGGCGCGTTCGAACAGGCTTAGCCGAGCTGTCTGATGGTAGTATCGTGGCCAAGTTTCATGGCGCCAACATCGCAGAGCGGATTTCGTTTGGACAACAATGGGAGGGGCCCGGATTGTCCTGGAGAATTGCGCTCCGGATTTTTCAGTGAATATCGTGCGTTTTATTTGGTCAGGAATGAGGACCACAAATAACCCACGTGAAATTAAAACCGTTTTTCGCTCGCCGTCTCGGAATTTTGCGTTTACAGAGATCCATGCGCAAATCCGCTGTGGCACGTCTGCAAGGTCGTTGCCATGACAACTCCTTGGCGCAAAATGCAGCCGTGAGTTCGGTGGCGCCGCCATCTGACTCTGGGGCCTGTTCGTTCGCCCTCGGACGCGCGTGGGGCGAGGAGACCACGAGTGTGTTTTTCTTGACAGAAGCTCGCAACGCCTGCGCCTCAAGTCTTCGTTGAAGACTCAATGATATTCCCAATGGGATTCCCGATGCGGACCAGGCCCCTATGCGGACTTTTGTGCGGACGCCGATGGAGATCCGGATGCGCACGGTGGCAGTGCCCAAAGCGCACTGGGGGGCAGGGGCGTTACGTTATGGGGGGGGGCAGGGGCTACAATGCCCACGACGCCCCAAACAATAAAGAAACGCGTTCCAAGCAGCGTCATGGCAACCACTAGGAAGCAATGCAAATCGAACGCTCGGTGCCCGCTAGAATTCCGCTTCCAGGCAAAGGCCCGGGTGCGGCATCTCTTGTTGTGCGCGAAGATGAGGGCCGAGCTGAACGTCGATGGCCAGGATGAGGAGACGGAGGGGACTGTCCTAATTCATGAGAGGTCGCAGATCAACCATATCGTAAAACTTATGCACGTCCACCACACCTCCCGCCACCGAGAAACCTCCCAACACAGCCAACCGCCCCTGCGACCCATCCATCCAGCCTGCGTGCTTGGCTGAACTACCATGAGTCTCGTCCCAGGGTCTGTGACCCGAACGATCCCGAGTGCTGACCGCCTGCTTCCACCGCATAAATGGAGCGCAGCAGTCCGGCGCAAACCAGCATCTTCCCTATCAATGAAACGTATAATGTTGTCAAGTCCTTGGTGCGGCATTGCCTCCTCGCCCTCCGTCGAAGTGAGCAAGGCCGCCAGGGTTAAAAAACGCTTGGGAGAGGGGGGGGCGTCCTTTACCAGGCGAAGGCGCAAACCAACCGCCCCCTACAACAACGGTCTGGGATTAAGTCGGGCGTGTCCCACTACAGGAGGAAGGTTCAAACATTGTCAAATCGATAGCCAGGGGGGCGATATGGGTAATGGTGTGACCACTTTTAAGGGGCATGTATTTGAATATGTTTGGTTTTTCGTCCAAAATCCGTCTGTAGGGAGCCATGCCCGACCTAGAAATAAGGTCTCCAAGGCGTTAGTCCATCTGTGGTGGCTCCAGATCTCGCCCCGCGATCCCCCTGCAACTCCCAAGAGATCGGCTGGCGCGGTGGCTGGGTGGCCCTGAAAGACGGGCCCATCGCGTGGCCCAACGGGCGGTAGCCGCTGACCTCTGGAGCGCCTCGCGGGGCCAGACCTTCCACCTGGGCCCGGCCGTTGCCTCGCTCGCAACCTGCTGGGAGCTTTCAGACGATGGGCAGCGGATGCGGTGAAGCCAATATATCGACCTAACTAGACAGAACAGCAGCCCCCCGAGCGTCGAACAGGCCCAAAGCCTCGGCATTGGGGGGGGGGGGGGCACAGACATCAGGATGGAAGCGTAACCCCCGAACTGAGCCGTGCAGGGTGGGGGAGGCTGAACGAGCCCCCCGGGGCTCTCCTTGGGGCCCACCACTCCCTGGAGGAAAACGAGCCGAGAGGTGGGGGTCTTCCAGAGGCAAGCGCGGCGATCGACTTGGGGTGGCCGCTTACAGGTCGTGGGAACCAGGGGGGGCCCCGCGAGCCCCGGGGGAGTGGCGCCCGACGCGCCGAGGCACATGGTTTTCAGGCAAACCGCTCCTAACACAAGTGACTAGTTCCAGCGCGCAAGCCCAGAGAGACGCAGAATGGCCAAAAGCTCGGGCCGCAGGTAGAGCGTCGCGCTGCCGATCAATAATCTCGGCAACCTCAAGCTTCGACATGAGTTTGCCCGGCCTGGCCTTGATTCGAGCCGCAGCATTGATCATCGCTTCGTTAGCAATGTCGAAAACCTGGGGTCTCATCGCCATCATCGGCCCTTCAACGCGCCTGGGACGAAGAAATGATTATTGCGTTTAGGGCCGACGCCATCGCAGCGCACCGAGTCAGCAACGCCCGAGGAGACCAAACCTAAGTCAGTCTTGCTGAATGAAGCCTTGCTGCTCTTGCACGCCGTCTCGAGGTCCGAGCCAATGTCACAAAGCCCGAGGTTGCTGAGTAAACACGATTTGGGCTACATCCTCAATGGACTTGTCCCCGCCACCAAGCGTGATGAAGGGCCCTGGAATCTGACTGACTCGCGCCTCGATCTGGGGCAGCATCTCCAGCCATTCGTGCCAGCGCCGTTGACCAGAAAGATGGGGGCGCGAGTGAGCGCGACAGGGCGCAATCGAAGCGAAGCCAAGCGCCATCTGGAACGCGCGCATTGCGTCCAGCTTTCAGAACCCACCACCGACAAACTCGAAGAAGGCCAAGATGAGCGCACCAAATCTGCATCTCCTGCAGAATATGAGTGCACCCATGGCATCTGCCGCGCCAGCGACCGCTTTCACACCAAGGCGACGCACGGCCATGATCATCTTCTCCAATCCAGATCCGGGAGTGCGGGTCTCAGCGATGAAACGCGTTGTCTGGGTCGGCCTCCGCAAGCCAAATGCCCCCGCTTGCGGGCCCCACGGCCGCATGTTGCCAGGGGGGATCGCCGGCAACATGGGGTGCGCACATTCTCCCCCTTCTTCGCAGGGCAGGTTTTTTTTTGGGGGGGGGCTCGGAGCTGGCCGCAGCCCGCCCTCGCGGCAGCCCCCCGCCGCGCGGCCGCCCTGGCCCCGCCTGGCCGCGAGGAGGGCGGCGCCCTCGGGCGCGGGCGACGGCCTCGGGCCGGCGGGCGCGGGCGACGGCTTCCGAAGCAGCGGCTGCGCCTGCGCCTCGACCCGCCTCTGTTGCAGGAAGGTCGCCCCCCGGGGCCGCCCCCGGGAGCCGCCGGAGTCGCTTCCAGGCCTGCGCGACGCCGACGATCGCAGACAGCCCCCCGAGCGACTTCGTCGATGCGGCATGCTGCCAAGAGGTCATCCCGGAGGGCTCTCTGAGGCCTTATCATTTGTTTTTCAATGGTTTCCCCGCCGCTGCTCCTGCCGCCTGTCCTTTCCTGCTCGGGGGCGGGCAAGCCGGGGGGGATATCATGGCGGGGGCCATGATATCCCCCCCCCCCCCCATGCCGCGAAACGTTCACGGGGGAACGAAACATTGCGTAAACATGAAAGCTTGGAAGTCCGCGCGGATTTCTCGGATCGGCGCCGGGGCCCCTGGGCGGCGCCTCCGTGCCGCCCCTGGCGCGCTCCGCGCGCCGGGGAGGGGGGTCCAGCGCCGATCCGAGAGATCCGCGCGCACCTCCGAGCTTTTATGCGCATGCCCTTTTTCGCTCCCCTGGTTTGGCCTGCCCCTCTCGCAATGCCTTCGCCTGCTCTTAGGCCGGGCATGTCGCAGGAGGTGGGTTCTGGACGACAAAGCAAACGTATCAAACAAATACCCAACAAGTAGCAGAAGAAAGATTGGAAACATCGCCCCCAGAGTATTTCCCCACCTTTTTTTGAACACTCCTCCTGTAGAGGGGCAAGCCCGACTGCAGCCTGCCCGCGAGCTCCGCGCGGAGAGCGCGAGCCCCGGGCGGCTCGCGGGCTCGGCGGCGCGCTCCCCCCCTGGGGGACGGCGAGCGCGGACCGCCCGCGCTCGCCATCCCGCGCCGAGGCAGGGCGGCGGGCCTGGGCCCGCGCCGAGGGCGAGCGAGCTGGGGGTGGACGGACCTGACACCTCGATGGGTGAATTTCGGAAGCTGGAACGTATACATTACCAGTGGCGGGCTGTTTCTTGAATCCTCTGACTTTTTTGAGGGTCGGGGACGACGCTGGGGTGGTGTGGTGTATATTTGTTTCCCAGATGTCCCGGGAAAGCAACGGAAAATGTATACACCAGGATTCCGTATACACCAGAATCCGCGTTCTTGTGCGAATTTCAGCGCAGGGTCGGGAAACGCGTCGGTGCATAGAGTTCGTTTCCCTAGAATTGTCCGTTTTCGGTTCTCGAGGGGGCGACGCTGCCGTTATTTTCCAGGCCTGCGCCCGCCAGGTTTGGGCCCGAGGTCGTTTTCACTAAGCCACGTTTTGCTAAAGAGGGTTCTGCCCATCCCCGGGCGAGGGAGGGGAACGCAGATGCCTTCCGGACGGCAGAGGCCGCGCCGCGGCCGCCGCCCGCGCGGCCGCAGCGGCGGCCGCCGTCGGTCGAGGCCGCAGCGGAGGCCTCGGCGGTCGCCGCAGGGCGCGGAGGGTCAGGAGAGCGGAGGTCGAGGGGATCACGTTCCGCGTGGGGCCTCGGCGGACTGAAGCGACGGCTATCCGCGGGGTCGCGGCCCGGGTGCTCGGCCCGCGAGGCCGCGGATGTGGGTGCGGTGTTCGCCCACGAGGCCGGGTCAGCCAACAGCCAACAACGCATCGACGCGACCGATCGATTTGTTGTGTGAGCGTTTTCTCATCCGCTGTTCTGCCAATCGGCGCGGGCACTCGCACCCCCCCCTCCCCCCCTTCCCCCGGAGTAGATCGGAGTAGATCTTGGCTGTGTTTTGGCCCCTGTTTCGAGCAGCTGGGGTCTCCCCCAGAGGACGCGCGGTTCCAAACCGCCGCACTAAGCAAAGGTCCGCAGCCAGACGCCCCCACCTCCCCCCCCCTCTTCCGCCCAAGATCGAAACGCCCTCCAATGTCGAAACGCCGAAGGGTCAGCCAACAACTCATCGACGTGAACGACTGATTCGTTATCAAGGGTTTATCATTAAGTCGGGCGCGTCCCTCTACAGGGGTAGTATTCAAAGATGGTCAAACAAATATTCTGGGGACGAATGCTTGATTATTTTTCGGGTATGTTTGAGCCTGTTGGGGTATTTTTCATATGTCGTCCAAAATCCGCCTGTACGGGGACATGCCCGACCTAGGCTTATCGCGCGGAAGAAGCCTCTGCACCTTGCGACGAGCGGCGGCCGCCTCCACCTCCTTCTGCGCAGCTTGCTCGTCCAGGAGAGCCGCGCCCCCCCTCTTCTTTGCCTCGGCAAGCTGGTTGTGAATGCGAGCGCGACGCTCGAGCGCCTGCGCTGGCTGGTTGGGTGCTGCGCGCTTTCGACACTAAGCCGCCGACAGCTCCGTCTCAGGCTTGACCTGCACGCGTGCCTGCTCCTTGGCGAACTGATCGCGTGGTGCCGCCGCAGCGGCAGGCGGCGATTCCGCGGCGGTCATTTGGGTTGCTGCAGGCTTAGCCCCCGCAAGGTCGGGCGCCCCTGCATCTCCTCCTCGCGCTGGCGCGAGGGGCGGATCGTCGCTGCTGGGAACGAGGGTAGCACCGTAACCAATGCAATGACGACGCCAACAACAGTCTATTTCCACTGCAGGAAGTGCCCCATTGGAAGACAATTGTCTGATGGTTTTGGGTAGCGCCACAGAACCGATTCTGGGACCTCGAAGCCACGAATCAACGTTACTGTTGCGTCTTGACGATCGTGGATCGTGCCAGAACGCCGTTTCTGGAATCTCAACACCGCTGATCAACGTTATTGTTGCGCCCTGGCGCTCCTAAGTCATGCCAGACTTCAACTCCTCGGACTTCCACCATGCGAGTCTTCGAAGTTGCTGTGCAATTTGAGACGTATGTGCGCGGCGCGGATGAGAGAACTACATGTTAAAAAGGAGCCGCCTTCCATCCGCGAAGCTCGTGCAAATTTCAAACAAATGTGCGCGGTGCGAAAGCGATAACCACATTTGAAAACCCTCTCTATCCGCGAAGCTTTTGCAAATTGCGAAAACGACTGTGCGCGGCCCTAAGCGGTTAAGACGAACGCGCGCGGCGCTAAGGCGAGAGCCACGTTTTGAAAACCATCCGCCCTCCATCCGTGAACCTCTTTTAAGCTTTAGGAGGACGATTGTGCGCGGTGCGAAGCCGAAAACCACATTTTGAAACCGAACCTCCCTCAATCCGTGAAGCTCTTGCAATTTTCAAGCTTTAGGATCTTAGCTGGTGAAGAAGTCTCTGGCGAAACGCCCAGCCCGCCTAACACGTTTCGGGGTGCGCTAGGGAGGAGTTACTGCGAAGGCCTTGCGGCCGGTGCCGCCGACCCTAAAGGCGGGACCTCCCCCAGGACCCCCGCTTGCGACACCCCCTTGGAACCCGCGGGACCCTGGGGGGCTGACCTGGGACCCCCCTCCCCCCGCCCCCCTGCAGCCCCCACCCCTGGCAGGGAATGGATAAATGAAAGAGATTTTCCGTCGCGTCGACCTATCTACGACGTGTTTGTTCCTACCTTTCCTTTGTTCCTCAAATTCCTTTGGGACTTGCGACGACGACGACGACGACGACGACGACGACGACGACGACGACAGCGTCTTCCATACGCCGAAGGGTCGGCGGATTTATTAGGACAAGGGACGAAGGAGGACGAGGAGGGGGGGGGGAGGAGGACGAGGAGGGGGGGGGAGGAGGAGGAGGAGGAGGAGGAGAGGAGGAGAGGAGGGGAGGAGGAGGAGGAGGAGGAGAGGAGGAAGAGGGGGAGGAGGAGGAGGAGGAGGAGGACGAGGAGGAGGAGGAGGAGGAGGAGGAGGAGGAGGAGGAGGAGGAGGAGGAGGGTAAGGAGAGGAGGAGGAGAGAATGTCGCGCCTGGGGGGTGCGGGCGCGGGAGCCTAGATAAATCTGGACTTCGTGGTCTTCGAGCGGGGCCCTGCCCGACACCCTGTGAATTTTCGACTGCTCGGAGGTAGATAGTCCTCCTACCCTGACATGTCGATTTAGGAATTGGCCGTTTTCGGTTCGCGAGAGGGCGTTGCGGCCGTCATTTTTGCGGGTCCAGGTCCGTCGGTTTCGGTCCCAAGCCGTTTTCACGAAGGGGAGGTTTACCGAAGGGGGGTTTGTCCACCGCCGAACTGCGCGGCTCCCGCAGCTCGGACCCCCGCGGGCCTCCCGGGAGCATGCATGCGCCGCCCTGACGGCCGCTCCGCGAGGAGAGGGCCCTCCGCCAGCGCACCCAGGCAGCGCAGGGGGGCGCGGCGCCCAGCGTGCCCGTGCCGGTGCGGCAGACGAAGGCGGGGCTTGTGGCGGGGGGAGGGGCGCGTCTTTCTGGGCCTCTCAGCTTGATGGGCCTGTTTTCCACCACCACCACCACCATGAGTTGGAGGGGGGAGAAGGTGGAGGATGGGGAGGAGGAGAGAACAAGCCCACCACAGATGGGGTCAGAGGATCGTGACGCATCGCCGATGCATCGGCGATGCGCCTCGATGTGGAGCCCGATTATCTCCACGCCGATGTCGCTGGGGCATCGCCGACGTCGCTGATGCATCGCCGATGCATCGGCGATACATCGGCGATGCGGTGCAACCCTCCGACCACATCTACCCCATCTAGGAGGCCTCTAGTATTGCTGCTGCTCTTCCTCAGCTCTACTTCCACTCACTGTGAATACCACTTTCCTCTCTCCCCCAGCTTCAGAGGATATTCTGCCCTCTCCGCGCAGATCTTTCAACGCTATGTTGCAAACGTTGTGTTGTCTTATGTGTTTTTCCAGTCCGATGTCTCGGTGTTTCAAAATGGCAGTCCTGGAGCTGTGTTGGCCTCACTGCAGGGTCGACGCTTTGCTCGCGTCGTTCAGAACGGCGCTCTCGCCCCAGCGCGCGCTTGATTTCTGGATCAGAGGCCTTTCTCGTCGTTGCCGCCCCCCCTTCCCCTCCTCCGCCTCCCCTTGGTTCTCCCGCTCCTCCCGCTCCTGCTCCGCTGTTGCGGCTGTTCCTCCTCCTCCTCCATCTACCTGGTCCCCATGCTCACTCATCCTGCTGCCCATCCGCCACCTCAACGTCTGCTTGCGCATAACGCGATGGGGTCATTTTGGGGGGTTCCAGATCGTGCGTAACGCGATGGGGTCATGTTGACGTTTCCAACTCTGCTATGACTCCCGTCGGCGGACAGGGAACGAATCAACACAATGGTAAGGGATGGGTGGGAGGGGTAGGATGTCCGATATGGCGCGATCGCACCTATCTTGACTTCTCCTCTCTCCCTCCTCTCATCCTGTCTCCCCTATTGACGTTCCTGCTCTCTCCCCCTTTCTCTGCCTCTGGGGCCTCGTCGGCTTGCACGATGCACGCAGTTCTTGCCGACAACATTGTGTCCTCCTCTTCCTTTCTCCTCCTCATCAACCGTCATTATCCCCCTCCTGCTCTTGTCCCAGCTCCCCCGCTTTATTATCCCTTCGCATTCTTCTCATCTTCCCCCTTCTGGCCCTTCTTTGTGTTGCCTTCTTCTCCGCCCCCGCATGTCTAGGATGAGGGTGCAAGGGAAGGAGGGAAAGGAAGCGGACAGGACCACCGAATCATGATGATTATGTTGTTGTTGCTGGTGGTTTTGCTGCTGCTGCTGCTGCTGAAAATACTGATGCTGATGCTGATGCTGATGATAAGACTGCTGATGAAGATGATGACGATGTTGATGATGGCGATGCTGAACCTGATGATGATGGTGATGAGGGTGAGGATGAGGATGAGGACTACGATGAGGATGAGGATGGTAACGATGTTGATGGGGACGATGAGGGTGAGGACGAGGATGAGGACGAAGATGATGCTGATGGTACAGATGATGGTGATGATGCTGCTGATGATGATGACGTGGATGGAGTTGAAGATGCTCCTGCTGATGATGATGATGATGATGGTGGTGGTGGTTTTGGTGATACTGCTGCTGCTGATGATGATGGTGGTGGAGATGTTGATGATGATGATGATGATGATGATGACGATGATGATGCTGATGATGATATCGTTGCTGCTGATGATGATGATGGTGCTGATACGGATTATGATGATGCGGATGATGATAATAATGATGATGACGATGATGATGATGAAGCTGACTATGATGATGGTGACGATGATAGTGATGATGATGACGATGATGAGGATGCTGATTGTGATGCTGATTGTGCTGATGATGCTGATGCTGGTGGTGGTGGTGATGATGAGGATGACGATGATGATGACGATGACGATGACGATGACGATGACGATGACGATGATGATGATGATGATGATGATGATGATGATGATGATGATGATGATGATGATGATGATGATGATGACGATGCTGATGATAATGATGCTGCTGTTGATGATAATGACGACGATAATGATGCTGACGAGCATGAGGATGAGAGGACGAGGAGGAGGAGGAGGAGGAGGAGGAGGAGGAGGAGCAAGTCGGTTGCGAGTGGGTCGTCTGGAGGCGGTCGGCGGGAGGAGGACCCCCTCCCTCCTGCTCCTTCTCAGGTTCCTTTTCCTAAGAACGGGGAGCATGAGCAGCAGAGGGGAACGATGCTGGCGATGGTGACTGTGACGACGGTGGTGACGATGGTGGTATGATGGGGAGGACGACGAGGATGGGAGAGGAGGAGGACGTGCTTCAGTGATGAGTGTAATCCACGCTGTGTTTGGGACTTGTTTTCCAATGTCTGTTGTCAGGTGTCGCCTGCGCACGGTATGGAAAGGAACCTATTTGACTGGAAGGGGGATGGCGGGAGGGAGGAAGAGGTGGAGGAGGAGGGTGACGGACTAGCATTACACGCTGGTCGTTGAAAGTAGGTATTTTCGGATACCCAAATCATAATGTACTTGAGGCGCCTTCCTACTTCAAGCGTCGAGAGTGTTCCCCTCTTCTCTCTTCAGGGGGCGGCCGGACGCCGGATCTGCTTCCAACGCCTTCCTGCTCCATGGTTCTGCCCACTTCTTCTGACCGACGGGTACTGTTCTTGTTATTGTTCGTAGTATTCGAGAGGTGGTTCGGTTGGCTGTGCGTGGTGCCTTCGGCGCAGAGGTGCCCAGGAGCGCATGGCTTTGAATGCAGTCTGCACTTCGCGCTTCCGGCAGGGGATTCCGTTTGTCAATCGCCCCCGCGACGTCGCCTCCAAGAGCCACGAAGTGCAGGTATTCAGAGACTTCCTGCACGCGCGCGGGTTTGGAAGAGCCAAGCCTCTTCGGGCCGACGCCAGGAAGGGAGGCGAAGCGCCGCCGGCTTCTCTTGCGCGCGTCACCGCTGCTCTTTCGCCAAGGGTGGGCTTTCTACACCTCTTCCCAAGCTCAGTAACACATGGCCTTCTTCCGCCCGCGCACTCTGGCAAGGGCTTCTACGGCTGCAGAAGTTGACACCCGGATGCAGTTCTACGGCAGGGATGCCTTCACACAGCAGGAGGAAGGATCGCACCCATGCATCATCTTCTTCGGCGTTGGTTCTGGGAACGACCTCCTCAGCTTTGCTTTTTCACGATGTCATGATCATCGCCGTCTACAAGGATTGGCATGCACTCCAAGCCGCTGGCATGAACGCAGTAGCCCTGGCTGGGGCTGGGCACTGCTGCGCTCGTGCAAATCAGCTTGGATGGCGCCATCTTTGGGTGCGTTTGGCTGCCAGGACTGCTGGTGTGGATCAGCCTGGCGGGCGTCCGCTACGTCGTTGGAAGTCCTGGGAAGGCCAGGAGTTGTTGGGTGATATGCCCTTCCTCCGACTCGTGAGAGCGTTCGCACAACTTCCGTGGCCGTCGGGGGGAAACCCCCTTCATCGAAGAATAAGCAATGCTACAAACAGAAATGTTCGACGCTTCGCGCGGTTTTCGTGGATCTGCGCTGGAGCGCCCTGGCGGCGCCTCTGGCGCCGCCTCTGGCGCCGCCCCTGACGCGCTCCGCGCGCCAGGGAGGCGGATCCGGCGCAGATCCAAGAAATCCGCGCGGACCGTCAAAAGTTTATGTTTATGCCGTTTGCTGCTCCTCTACGTGAGCCGCCTTGAGGAAGTAGGCGGGGAGTTTGTCCACCTCTTCCATGATCCACCTTGGAGGCCACCGAAGACAGCTGGCTACCTGCGTGTTGTCTCGGGCATCCAGCTTCATGAGGCTTGAACCACGGCCTGTACGACGTGCGCGAACGCACGCGATCTCGTCAAGGACGTGCCCTGGCATCCAGACTTCCAGACCTTCTTGATGATTTGACAATTCGGAAGAAGAAGGATAATAATTCGGACAATAGGACGAATCATAATAAGAAAAAAAAGAACCCCCGCGACGGCTTACCCTCCTTCCGCGCGCAGGCCGCGCCCGAGCACATCTTCTCACTTGCAAGCCCGTGCATGGAGGCGTTGCTTGAAGCGCTGCGCGGGGAGTGCACTGCCATGCTCACCAGGCCCCACGAGAGCTGGAACCCCGTCGAACGGCGTCTTCATCTGGGATCCTGGGTGGGAACGTCGTCTTCAGCACGGCCAAGCACGTGGCGACTCGGAAGCACTCGGCTTCTCCGTGGACACGTGCCTTCTCGCTCAGGCCGCCCGTGTCTGCTACCTGCTTCCGATCCCCGTCCTTGGAGGCCTGCGCTGCTTTGTCAGTAGTGACCCTATGGGACTGGGAACCTCTTGGCCAGTGGGTGCAGCGCCTGCGCCTGTTGATGTCTTCCTTGTTCCCCTTCTCTTGAGTCCTTCGGATTCTGGCTGCTGGAGGAGCAGCAGCATAGGATGAGGCGGTGGATAGTTCGGTGGAGGTGGAGAACAAAACACCAAAAAATGGATGACGAGGGGCGAGGGGAGCACGCGAGAAGGAGGATGAGGGAGAGGATGGGGAGAGCACTGCATGACCCGCCGCAGCAGCATCATGACTTGCAAACGTATGGCGATGATCAAGAGGATAATGAGTAGGGGGAGGGGCCACGACGCCAGCATACGATTCAGCTGGCGAATGGGAAAGGAGTTTATCATGACCTCTCATGTGTAAAGGAAGTCTGTACGATATTATTATTTGGCTGTTGAAGGTTGTCAATTTTGATCCCGCGGCGGGGAACGGAATCGCACATCTGTATCGAATGACCTTCGGCCTATCCCGCCGCCGTGTTTGGATTGTAGGTCAGATTTCTCAGGGATGTTTCTTGGGGTCTCTTCGGAGAGTTCTCGATGCACTCTTGGTAGCACTGTTTGACCCTCTTGGGAGCCTCTTGGGGGCCTCATGGGGCCTCCTGTGGGCCTCTCGGAGCCGAGGGCTCGAAATGTCCGTTCAGGTCCCCC